CGTTGCTGTTTGTCTGTGATATGCAAGAGAAGTTCAGGTGAATATTTTGTTTGATAGTCGAGGTAACCATTGTGGTTCTCCATTAGGTAAACTTTGCGTTGTCTCACAAGGAGGGCCGTGAAGGTAACGGATCGCTTTCCATAATGGCTTCTCGTATTTTAAAGCACCTACTAGAATCGGGACCTCAAAACTGAAGTGCAGTTTTTCCTGCTTTCATGTGATAGTACCAAGAAGGAATGGGAAGAGTTCTCAGTTTTTCGCTTCTTGCAACCTTGGGATGCTGGCTGTCTCACTTCTTTTGAATCTTACGAGATTTTGCTGGAACTCTTATTCAATACATTCATTCAACAAGGCCTAATGCTTCGATTTAATCGTAAGACGCGGAAGAAGTGATACACAAGAAGAGTAAAAATCCTTTTTCTATTGAAGCAGTTGGAAATGATGGGCTCAAATCACGATGGATAATAAAAGGATAAAGTCTTCGCCGTTGATCAATCCCTTTGTGGGATGCGGCACGCATTCTACTTCCATTCAGAATCGTAGTGGCTTATTGAATGCGATGTGGCCTATACAATGAACAAGGTTTCGCAGCTGCTGCAATCTTATCAACTGCTCGAATCTTATCAGCTGATATCACTTCCTGTCACCCACCAGTAATGTTCCGTCACACCCCTACATCACTTCTTGGAACCAATGTCTCACTGCTACTGGGACCGGCGCTATGAATTTCGTGACAGACAGACGACACACACACACACACACACACACTTACAGACATACTTAGTGGATTATATATAGTACGATCGCGGGGGCAAACCGATGAACACGTCAGTGATCTCATCCTCCTAGACTAACCTGGTGCCAATTTACCGTCCCCGGAGTGTAGAAGGCTTGGTGGCGGCCTGGGCGCGGGCCGATCCAGGATTTGATCCTCAGTCCGTGTGTGCGGTAAGTCTTCCTCTTGCTACTACACCCTTCCTCCTCAAAATAACCCTCTTTGTCAGCTACGGGCGTGCTTTCGGAAAAGGTCATCCAAACCGCATTGCTGAACAGCATGTCGCTTGAAACACCGCGTACTCAGAACTTCGGAAGCTTTTGTTACCCGTACACCGAAAACGGCGTAATGTAACTCAGAACAATAAAAGCGCTCTAGTATTATGCATGGCATAGAAAAAGAAGCAAAATAATTATGTGAGCCGAACCACTCCTGACTGCTGTGTGCAACTGCAGTGGTCGTTCTTGTCGGTGGACAAGAGGATGGGCTCTCATAGAACTGTAGAAATCGGTTAAGAGATTAGTTCACTTGACGACTACTTCTCTCATTACTCGGCTCATTCTTGACATAAGATGTGCCTGCAAGTGCTAGAGTACAATAAAGTGGTTGAAGTGATCCTCCTTGATCATTTTCTGCCCTTTTTGATATGTTCAAGAGCCTCCAGGAAAAGTGAATTCTTTTTTCCCTGCAACGTGCAAATCACCTCTTTCAGAAGGCGCTCCATGACCTGGAATGCTTTGTAACTTGCTCACGAGCTTCGCGATTGTTTCCATTTTTGTGTAATGTTTCGGTCAACAGAAGCCTGCTGGACTTGCAGACCTCATCATTACGGACTGTCGGGGCGGCACAGCCGCGCTGCAATGTGACGCGACAGCGGCTGCGGCTCGGTGACGGCGAATCAGCTGATTTCCATGGAATTCGGCTGCGAATTCCCACTTTTTCAACTCTTCAAGCTTCGAAAGTGGAAGGTGAGTTATTTTGAACAATTTTAAATTGTACTGACTCTGAATGAATCTGAAAGAATGTAAGCCATTTGAATAAATGCCTGAAATAAGGCAAAATACAAGGAAAAGAGCATAATAATCGACATAAAAATAAAGGAAATCAGAGCCAGTACAATTCAAAATTGTTCAGAATAACTCACCTTCCACTTTAGAAGCTTGAAGAGCTGAAAAAGTAGGAATTTGCAGCCGAATTCCATCGAAATCAGCTGATTCACCGTCACCGAGCCGCAGCCGCTGTCGCGTCACAGTGCAGCGCGGCTGTGCCGCCCCGACAGTCCGTAATGATGAGGACTGTATGGTTGGAGTGCTTAATGGTTACAGAACTTTCTAGACTTCTAGTGACAAGAGATGTTTCAGCAAGACGAACAAATTCTTCCCGGAAATCACCCAAACGGCGAAACGTGTTGTGGACACAGCGAAAATACTCAACATTCCAATCATTGTTACGGAGCACTATCCGAAAGGCCTTGGACCTACAGTGCCAGAACTGGGACTTGATAAAGATGTGCCTCGATACCCGAAAACTCAAGTAATCTAAAGTTCGTTTGCTCGCTAATGTTCGTTCATTTGGCAGAATATTTGGAGAAGTGAGAAAACTAACTGGTAATCACGAAATTCGCCCTTCTTGAATACTCATGAACTCCTGTTGCAGATTTGGATTCGTTTGGCCAGAAAGAGTGTGTGACAAAAGGTCTTCCTGGATGGGATCATCCACTCTACCACTTCGTTGGCTCCGCTTTCAACCCTATCCTCCATTCGCGTTATTACAGCTCTATTGACTCCTGTCTCCGAGTAACCCCTCCCCTCTCCAGTGAACCGAATGTGATTGAGATTCCACAATGGATGCTTGACCCTGCTATCGATAATCCAGTAGTCGGTGCGCGGAGCGAGTCCATGTGGAGGCTGGGCGACCTGACTGGGAGTCTTGCCACACACCGGATGTGGAGTCCTAACCTACGGGAGACGGCAAGAGGATCGTAGATTGCCGCTTCGTCGTGCTTCAATGGGCGCGACGTTTCCTCAACTTGAACTACCCTTTCGAAGAGAGCAG